CAAAATGGGCAAGGGTTCTACTAACTTATACGTAATGTAGGGGCCCTAATAATTAGAATAGGGTTTTGGGGCATATGATACTATGCTTATAGTAAGGAACATAAGGAACCCCCAAAAATAGTGTATCATAACTATTTAGGCCCCCTTTTTTTACTCTGAAAAACCCAGGGCCCAAGGTCGCCACGTGCGGCTTCCACCGGCCCTGGGGCCACAAAGCATGGCACCGCCTCCATGCTCTCCTGACCGTCTCGGAAAAAGGAAGAAGAGGAGGTTTTGAGGATGTACCGGAGCCAAAGAAATACATAAATAAATAAATAAATAAATAAACATATACATATATATATATATATGTCTATCTATCTATATATCTATATATCTATCTAACTATCTATCTGTCTATCTATATTCACCCACAGAAGCTTCTCTCGGGACTCGAGGATCTCTGCTTTTTTGCAAGAGCATAAGAAGCTGCGAACGGAAAGACAGGAAGATCGCAAGGTCTGCTGCGTCTCTTGAAACTGTATGTTCTAGCGTCTCGTGTTCGTGTTGCACTGTTTGCTTGTTTTCTACGTTTGGATCATGTGCCCGCAATGCAACAGCAACAACAACAACAACTACTACTACTACTGCTGTGACAAAACGGCAAGATAGGGGCAATCCAAGTAGGATTGAAACATAGATAAGTGTGGTTCAATAGCTTGGACGTGGACGGAGAACCCGTCGACAGAGACAATACAACATCCAGCAAAGCCCAGAACAAACCTGGCCCTATGTAGACCCTGATTAAATGCACATCCAACATGGTGGCCTGTAAGTTGCGAGCTCGGGACTCAACGATCCCTGTGTGACATCCGACAACCTGTTCCACTCAATTGCACTGCCAAGTCTCGGCGACCTTCTTGATGGGAAAATCGACTGAGGACGGAGCACACGAGCGTAGCTTGAAGCAGTCGTGCCGTCAGCAATGACAAGCTGCCAAGAAACACAATCGCATCCTTGACGCTGACATGTTCTGATTCACGTGATGCTTCGCATCTGCACCCCTTCGTCCCTCATTCTCTGCATGATTGGTAGGCACCATCGAGCAACCTGAATCCCAAAACGTACAGAGGTCCATATCCAATGCAAGAAAAGCCCTTGGAACATCCCAGTCAGTTCCATCCCGAATCGTTGGCCTGACCTCTTTTTTCCGCGGCTTCCATGCGACATCCCTGAGTGGGGAAAACAGAGAAGCCGCCTGCGGAAAGGCTCGAGGGTCACCTTCTCGGGGAAGGTGACCCTCTTCCTTATACCCCAACCCCGATCCTAACCCTGCACTTCAAACCTGAACCTGATGCAGCCTTCAACTTTGATCTCGGAATCCCTGATGGAGTCTGTACGTGCAACTGCCAGCAGCTACAGTAGCTTGTATTCGAGAATAGAAACTGCTGCCATGCTACAACAGCGTCAAGAAAAATGAGACTGCTAGGCCAACTACTAATGATCCTAGCAGGCTCTGCGTGGTGGACAAGGACACTTACAATCGTCGACGCCGATTGTACAGCTCTCTTGCTGATTGCTGGCATCTACTCCGATAGATTCAGGCCTTCTCTTCGAGCAAGCTTGTGGTGTGGAAAACGCTCCACTCGCTCAGATCAGCGTAGACCCTACACGTGCAAGATCCTGAAACCCTAAGTCCCTACACCCTGGGACCCGACCCATTTGTTTATGAGCCCTGCTCTGCATCGTCGTGCATAAACCTTCTCGCAGCCGGCTTCATCAGGGGCCCCAGACAAAATCTTGAGTCGGATCGGCTTCTTCGAAGCGCCGGGGACGGGGACCACGTGGACAAGCGAGGGATTGAGGGATTCGACGGTCGACTTAGAGCTCAATCGAAATAGCCGCGAGCTCGTTTACTCTCCCCGCCTCTCTCTCCTTCTGCTTGCTCGTGCGTGTGCGTGTGTGGGAGGACTACACTTGCCCACACGGCGGGACCCTCACTCTTCGTTTAATCCAGCAGTTGGCGAGGTTTGGAAGCATGAAATCCAAGACATCGAACTTAGGACGGGAAGCGGTTGGTTTGCTATGGTAATGTGGCCGATCACTGTTAAAGGAACATCGAAGGGTCGGTGTTCGATTTCATCTTGGCCCTCATGTAACCTAGGCTTGCCCATGTGTAAACTGCGGCCAGCGGTTGACCATTGGCCACGGGCTTGCCGAAAACATCCTTTTAAATGCCTCGATGCAGACGGTGTCCAGGCGCTCCCTCTTCGAGCAGCCACACGGACATAAATTACCAATTACTCTCGGGGGCCCATCACGAAGGGCGAACCTCCCTCGAGCTCGAGGGTTGCAACGGCTTTTTGAGAGAAGTTCGGTACCTTGGATATATGTCCCCCTGCCTCAACGACGCCCGAGCTGAAGGCACGATCCGACAGAAAGGCGCTGCACCCAATTGTGAGATCCCCGGAACTTCCAAGGTGAGCTGTGGGACTTCGGGCTGAGAGCTTTCGGCTTCAGGGTTGGGATTCGGGCGGGGGGGGGGGGGGGGGGGGCTTCGAGGCGCAAGGCGGCTACAGCAGAGGTTGCTCGACGTGTGCGTTGCCCAAAGGCAGAACTCTAAGTGACAAACGCTTCAGGTCTGACCGCATGGTGCGCACGGGGTGCCTTCAGCAGGGACACGTGAAGGGAAGGCATTATCAAGCTTGCCTCATCCAGCCACAAGCCGTGGCCTGGGAGAGCACAGGATGCTGCGGGATTGGAAGACAGAAACATGGCTTGTGCGGTTTCATGTCGTGACCACCCTGAAGGAAATTGCGGGCTCTGGGCTCGGAGGCATCTCGTTTGGGGCTCGGATAAGCACTTCACGTCTCCTAAGAAGTCAGAGTCGGATAAGCAAAAAACACACGGAGCACTAGGTGCATAGTGCACCCATGCTCTGCCACAGCCGGCCGAGCAAGCGTGTATGCCACCACTGAGAGCACAGTCAAGGCGATCAGCCATCAGGTCTATTCATCAGGGCGGAAAGGCAGTCAAACCACTCTGTCACCAGTGCTGCATTCCACTCGGATCCCTAGCAGGCAAGCAGCAGCACAAGTGCGACAGCTGCGGCAGTCTGTACCACAGCCGATGGAGGCTGAGGCAAGCTTCTCCGTCAAAACTGCCTCTGCAACCATGTTCCCAAACCCTGAACTCTGAATCCCTGAGCCCAGAAGCCCGAGCCTCAAACTGGCATGCACAAAATCTCAGATTACATTTCACGACGGAAGCTCTTTCGCGAAAGTCTAACTCGGCTCAGGATGATACCAACTCAACCGAACACAAGTCCAGCTGCTCCCCACCTGATGAACGAATCAGAATGTCAACCTCTGGACCCTCAAGTGCACTCGCACTAAACCGCAGCCGCGACGCAGCTTCAAAGGTGCAGAATGAAGCTGCACGCGCCCCCCTGACTTTCGGGCAAGGTTGCTAGCCATAATATAGATTGAATCATGTATTTGGGAGGTGACGCTTCAAATGTAGGACTTAGTGACTTAGTGTGAGTTTTTCCGGCTGAAGATACTGACACGTGCAGTGCAGCAAGCCAGGCTTGACAAGAAGCAATGCAGCGGGTTGTACAGAAACACCCCTGGCCGAGACCTGGAAAGCCGAGACCTTGAAAACCCGGGATCCAACCGCTGGCCTAGCCTTTGAGAAGCCTTCAGGTACAGGTTGGGGTTGGGGATGATGCTCCCCGCTGGACGAAGCCGCTGAGTCTGAAGAATAAATAGAAACTCCCGAACTCGCTGGGAAAGCCAACTCACTTCGACTCTCTTTCCTGCGTGGGTAGGGATAGCAAGAAGAGCCCAAACACATATTGTAAAAACGGTCCCCAACATGCGCATTCCGAACCTCTTGCACCCCCGAAAGGCCGTAATCACCCATTACTCATGGCACTTGCGGCCCTTCTGCTCTTAAACCCCGGCGACACCTCGCTGGAGGTCTTTCGTTGTAAAGCGGCGCCTGAGTGCCAAAAGGCAGAGTTGAAAGGCCAGAGGTCCCGCAAATCACAGGAGAACTGTTTGAGACGGGCTAGGGCTTGCAGGGTTTAGGGTCTGGGGAGGGGCCAATTCTCTGCCATCGCAGACCGGCAAAGTTCCCCCTTTGGGTCCCTGGCCACTGCTTTCGCTGCTCCCGGGGCCGAGGGGGTGGCCTCCAGAGAAGGGAAGCTGTCACAGGTAGGACATGACAGTAGTCCAAAGGTCCCCCCCCGAACCCTGAACCCTGAACTCTTACTCCCTGGACGAAACAACTTAAGCCCTAAAGCCCTCGAATCCTAGACTGTTACTCCCAGGCTACACCAAGCAAAGCCGCAGGAAGTCGGCTTTGAGACTGGGCAAGTTGCGGGTCTCCGGACTAAGAGGCACTTTTAACCTGGGTTCAGGCTATTCGGGTTGAGGGTTGTGCGGTTCGTGGTAGGGCTTTCGGGTGTTCGGCCACATGTGCTCGTT